GGATGACATCAGAAGACATGGGCAGGACGCAGTGGCTCACGCCTGTAATCCCCAGCACTTTGGGAGGCAGAGGCAGGTGGATCACCTGAGGTCAGGAGTTCGAGACCAGCCTTACCAACATGGTGAAACTCTATCGCTACTAAAAATACAAAAAAATTAGCTGTGGTGGCGGGTGCCTATAATCCCAGCTACTTAGTAGGCTGAGGTAGGATAATCGCTTGAACCTGGGAGGCAGAGGTTACAGTGAGCCGAGATCATGCCATTGCACTCTAGCCTGGGGAACAAGTCTCAAAAAGAAAAAAAAAAAAGAGAGATCAGAAGACATGATGTTAGGTGTAATAAGCCACACACAGAAAGACAAATACCACATGATCTCACTTACATATGTGTGACAGTTGATACTGAGTGTCAACTTGATTGGATTGAAGGATGCAAAGTACTGATCCTGGGTATGTCTGTGAGGGTGTTGCCAAAGGATATTCACATCTGAGTCAGTGGGCTGGGAAAGGCAGACTCACCCTCAATCTGGGTGGGCACAATCTAATCGGCTGCCAGTGTGGCTAGAATATAAAGCAGGCAGAAAAATGTGAATAGACTAGACTGGCCCAGCTTCCCAGCCTACATCTTTCTCTCATGCTGGATGCTTCCTGCCCTTGAACTTTGGACTCCAAATTCTTCAGTTTTGGAACTCCGACTGGCTCTTCTTGCTCCTCAGCTTGTTGTGGGACCTTATGATCATGTGAGTTAATACTTAAATTCCCATATATATATATATGCACACACACACATCACATATATATTACATATATCCCATATGTTATATATATCCCATATATATTATATCCTATAATATATATCCCATATGTATTATATGTATCTTATTTTTTTGTGTGTTATACACATATTTATTTATATATAAATATATATGGCATTAAAAACTCCCATATATATATTGTATATATATCCTATTGGTTCTGTCCCTCTAGAGAACCTTGACTAATGCAATGTGGAAACTAAAACAATAGCCCTCATAGAAGCATAGAGTAGGATGATGATTACCAGAGGCTGGGGGCTGAAGGGAATGGGTAAATGATGATCAGAGGCTACGACAAACCGTCTGTTAGGCAGGAGAAATAAGGGGTTTTTTGCAATCTATTACACAGCATAGTAAGTTTAGTTAATATTAGTGTATGGTACATTTCAAAATTGCTAAGAGAGTAAAATTTCAAATGCTCTCTCCACAAAAAAAAATTTGAGGTGAAGTTAATTCACTTGATTTAATTATCCCAAGTTGTACTCGTAAATCATAACATCACTTTGTATCCCATAAATACAACTATAGTTCGTCAATTTACAATAATAATTTTTTGATAAATAAATAAAATTGTATCCATTCTAACAGGGATGTAGCCGTATCTCACTGTGTTTTAATTGGCATTTCTGTAATGACATCGAACATCTTTTTGAAATATTTGAAACTATAAAATAAAATCTGTTTGTAAGGATTACTAAGTAATGATGCAATAGAATATTAAAATAGTACTGTATTTTTTATTTGCCCAGCAACTGCCTTTTAAGGCAGTCAGAACTGTTTGTATCTTTTTATTATCCATCATTTTCATGATCATCATCACAAAGTACCTATTTATGCATTGGCCTTTCACCAGTAGTTCTGCAAAAATGAGTCATGCAGACATGATTCATGCCCTGCAGGAAAGTAGCAAATTCTTCCTCTGGTGGTTTCTGTATAGGACAGTTTTTCTTTTCTTTGCTATATTACCCTCTAATAAACAGGTGACAAAAATAAACTGCTCATGCCAGGCACGGTGGCTCACGCCTGTAATCCCAGGTCTGTGGGAGATTGAGGCAGGAGGATCACTTGAGCCGAGGAATTTTGAGACCAGCCTGAGTAACATAGCAAGACTCTGTCCCTACAAAAAATAAAACAATGAGCAGGGCATGATGGTTGCACCTGTAGTCCCAGATACTCAGGAGGCTGAAGCAGGAGAATCACTTGAGTCTAGGAGTCCGAGACTACAGTGAGCTGTGATTGCTCCACTGAACTCCAGCCTGGGCGAAGGAGCAAGACCCTGTCTCTGAAAACTAAATGAATAAACTGCTCAAGCAAACACACATAAAACCTCTTTCAGTTCAGTTGATTGTTCAGGATCCAAAATAAAATAATAGAAAAAAAAATCTTAGTAAAATCTGTAATTGGCATGGTAGGGATGTACAATAGAAGCAGATGAGAGTAGCGACAGGTGGCCCGTGGTCAGTGTAAGTAATTCCTGGTGAAGGATGCTACCTCACAGGAAGGGAGGTCAGGGAGGGACCATGCTCCCTGCTGAGAAGAAGCATTTGTAGGATGTGGGTTCTGTTCTCCAATTTGATGCTTTCTGTAATTAGATTTTCTCTTTATGTAAGGAGATGAGATGAGTTGAAGCCTTGGTAAGTTCATGGATCCTTCAAAAGAGAATTATTAGACTTCTCCAGGATCTTCTTAAGAGATTGAATTCCTAAGCCAGGCATGGTGGCTCACGCCTTTAATCCTAACACTTTGGGAGGCCGAGGTGGGTAGATCACCTGAGGTCGGGAGTTTGAGACTAGCTTGGCTAACATGGTGAAACCCCGTCTCTACTAAAGATACAAAAATCAGCCAGGCATGATGGTGTGTGCTGTAGTCTTAGCTACTTGGGAAGCTGAGGCAGGAGAATCGCTTTAGCCCAGGGAGTGTGGAGGTTGCACTGAGCAGAGATTGCGCCACTGCACTTTGGCCTGGGTAACAGAGTGAGACTGTGTCTCAAAAAATATTTAAAAAATAATAAAAATACAGAAATTAGCCAGGCGTGATGGTACATGCCTGTGATCCTAGCTGTTCGGGAGGGTGAGGCAGGAGAATTGCTTGAACCCGGGAGACAGAGGTTGCAGTGAGCCCAGATCATGCCACTGCACTCCAGCCTGGGTGACAGCACAATACTCTGTCTTAAAAAAAAAGAAGGGGGATTGAATTCCCAGGTCCCCTCTCACGTTTCCAAGTCACATCCCATTCCCAAATGAAGTAAGCTCCTAAATCTTGTTACAAAATCCCAATTTAGGAAGAAGGAAGAGCCCACTGACTATGGTCACTTTCTGGACACAACAGCACCCCTAAACTCTGGTTCATTAGTAAAGATCGCACAGAAAATAACAGCCTTTTTGGTAACTTTGTTCTTTTCCTCTAAAACTTCGTGGTCCATGCCCTCCACTCTTCAGTTTTTAAATTGTTTTCAGGTGGAGGACACCAAACATATGAGAGGCAGACATAAAAACTATCTTCTTGCTACTTCTCTTAGAAATATACCCAATGGCCAGGTGCGGTGGCTCATGCCTGTAATCCCAGCACTTTGGGAGGCTGAGGCAGGTGGATCACTTGAGCTCAGGGGTTCAAGACCAGCCTGGGCAACATGGCCAAAACCTCTCTCTACAAAAAATGCAAAAATTAGCCAGACGTGGTGGCATATAACTTTAGTCCCAGCTACTTGGGAGGCTGAGGCAGGAGGATCACTTGAGCCCGGGAGGTGGAGGCTGCAGTGAGTGGTGATTATACCACTGCACTCCAGCCTGGGTGACACAGTGAGACCCTGTCTCAGAAAGGAAAAAAAAAAGAAAAGAAACGCATTCAGTATGAGTCTGTATGTCCACCAATAGCCATCGACAGGCATGGTCAAGGCAGTGTTATTTCTGATAAACACAAACCGGAAAGTAACCAATTGTCAATAGGACAGTGAATACATTGACATAACAGAGTTCTCCTCGTAGTGAGAATGAGCTGCCTACAGCTTCACATCACAGTTGGGCTGATTCTCCCAAGCATAATGTTAAGGATAGAAGCCAGACACAAAAGAGCACATACCATTTGGTCTCTTTGATGTCGAGTTCAAAACTAGACAGATCGTATCTATGGTTTTAGAGGGGTGGAGACTGGAAGAGAGTGCCAGGGGTTATCCTAGGGGACCAGTTCTGCTCTGTTTTTGATCTGAGTACTGCTTACATGAGCATATTAACTTTGAAAATTAAGTTTATGATTTATGTAGTTTCTATACGTGTATTCTTCTTTAATAGAAAATTTACACTGGGCCAGTCCCTGTGGCTTATGCCTGTAATCCCAGCACTTTGGGAGGCTAAGGAAGGTAACAGCTTGAGCTAGGGAGGTCAAGGCCACAGGGAGCTGTGATTGCACCACTGCATCTAGCTGAGGTGACAGAGTGTGACCCTGTCTGATATGGTTTGGCTATGTCCCCACCCAAATCTCATCTTGAATTGTAGTTCCTATAATCTCCACATGTCATGGGAGGGACCGGTGGGAGGTAATTGAATCATGAGGGTGGGTACCCTCATGCTGTTCTCGTGATAGTGAGTTCTCACGAGATCTGATGGTTTTTGTTTTGTTTTGTTTTGAGACAGAGTTTTGCTCTTGTTGCCCAGACTGGACTGCAATGGCACGATCTTGGCTCACCACAACCTCCGCCTTCCAAGTTCAAGCGATTCTCTTGTCTCAGCCTCCCGAGTAGCTGGGATTACAGGCATGCACCACTATGCCTGGCTAATTTTCTATTTTTAGTAGAGACAGGGTTTCTCCATGTTGGTCAGGCTGGTCTCGAACTCCTGACCTCAGGTGATCTGCCCACCTCAGCCTCCCAAAGTGCTGGGATTACAGGTGTCAGCCACCATGCCCGGCCATCTGATGGTTTTATAATGGGTTTTTCCCCATTTGCTCGGCAATTCTCCTTGCTGCTGCCACGTGAAGAAGGATGTGTTTGCTTCCCCTTCCACCATGATTGTACGTTTCCTGAGGCCTCCCCAGCCATGCTGAACTGTGAGTCACTTAAACCTCTATCCTTTACAAATTACCCAGTCTCAGGTATGTCTTTATAGCAGCAGGAGAACGGACTAATGCTGAGATGCTGTCTCAAAAAATAAATAAAATAAAATAAATACAAAATATTTAAAAAATTAAAAGTTTACATTGAAGAAAGGATGGTTTTTATTTCCTTGATGTTAATATTTGTAACAAAATTGCTAAGAATTTGCCTCTAAAAAATGTGCTCTTCAACATACTCTTCAAATAGACCTCTGGAATAGAAAGGGAAAGAATAATCTTATGTATAATTTCGGGGAGCACTTTTATGCCTTACTTTAACATCGACCTGAAATAGTCTAAAACTCCTTTGTGTGATGCCCACCAGAATTTACTCCTAAGTCCTAAAATGAACACTTCTTGGGTGTATTGGCTTGTTGGTGGTACATATTTTACTTTTTTGCAGCCTTCCTTGATAACAAATATTCTACTCTCCCTGCATGAAGACAATGCTACTGAAAACGCATGTGCCCCATGCAGTGGAGCGTTCCCGCAGAGCATAATGAGTGGGATGCTTTGAGCCCCTACTGGCCCATCTTTGGGAGCACTGTCACTCTCTAGGCCAACAGCAGAAATTTGCAAAACAAGGATTTGCTTACTTCCTTATTCGGAACAAATTGTTCTCTGAGCCGAGGTAATTGGATTGTATCGAAATCGAGGCTGTGCTGCTGACGGCATCAATGCTGTGCTCTAACCACAGTCGCCTGTGCACAGCCCAGGTGAGTGTGGAAAGGGACCATGGTTTGGTGGGGACGGGGGTGCAGTATTGAGACTTCTGGGCTTTTTTTTAATCTTATTTTTTTTTAAGTTTTAAAAAATAATTTAGAAGCCGAATAAAAACACACACACACACATATTGTATGATTCCACTTTTATGAAATGTCTAGGAGAGGGAGATCCAGAGAGACAGAAAGTAGGTGAGTGACTGCCGGGGCCTGGGGCGTATGGGAGTGTCTGCTAATGGGTATGAGATTTCTTTCTAAGATGATGAAAATTATCTGAGATTAGTGGTGATGCTTGTACACTTCTGTGAATACACAAAAAGCTGCTGAACTATACAGGTTTTGGGTGTTTGTGGTTTTGTTTGTTTGTTTGTTTGTTTGTTTGGAGACAGTCTCACTCTGTCGCCCAGGATGGAGTGCAGTGGCGTGATCATAGCTCACTGCAACCTCAACCTCCCAGGCTCAAGTAATCTTTCCACCTCAGCCACCCAAGTAGCAGGGACTACAGGCTCGCACCACCACACCCAGCTAATTTTTGTATTTCTTGTAGAGATGGGGTTTCACCATGTTACCCAGGCTGGTCTCAAGCTCCAAGTTTCAAGAGATCCTCCTACCTCTGGCTCCCGAAGTGCTGGGAGTACAGGCATGAGCCACTGTGCCCAGCCTGAACTGTACACTTTAAAGGGGTTAATTTTGGCCAGGGGCGGTGGCTCATGCCTGTAATCCCAGCACTTTAGGAAGCCAAGATGGGTGGATCACCTGAGGTGGGGAGTTTGAGACCAACCTGACCAACATGGAGAAACCCTATCTCTACTAAAAATACAAAATTAGCCAGACGTGGTGGCGCATGCCTGTGATCTACTTGGGAGGCTGAGGCAGGAGAATCGCTTGAACCTGGGAGGCAGAGGTTGCTGTGAGCCGAAGTCACGCCATTGCATTCCTGACTGGGCAACGAGAGTGAAACTCCGTCTCAAAAAAAAAAAAGGTGAATTTTATGGTAGGTGAATTACATCACAATTTAAAATTTACCATTTTTCTGGGTGAATGTGGTGGCTCACGCCTGCAATCCCAACACTTTGGGAAGCCAGAGCAAGAAGATCACTTGAGGCCAGGAGTTTGAGACCAGCTTGCACAACATAGTGAGGCCCCATCTACACACACACACACACACACACACACACACACACACGTAGCAGGCATGGTGGCACATACCTGTGGTCCCAGCTACTCAGAAAGTTGAGGTGGGAGGATTGCTTGAGACCAGGAGTTCAAGTCTGCAGTGACCCGTGATCGCACCACTGGACTCCAGCCCGGACAACACATTAAGACCCTGTCTCTCTAAAACAAAACAAAACAAAACAAAACAAACAAAATTCTGCCCAAGAAACTGGATTGAAAATAATATAGATAATGCAAGCTCAAGCAAACCCCAAACAAATGTCAAGGCTAACATTTCTGTCTTTATTGCAAGCTCATCATCAGCCACATAACAAGCTAAAAGAGATCTGGCAAAAAGTTAGCAAAAATAATTAACATTATCAAGAAAAATAATTGAATTATTAACATCTTTTATCATTGGACCTCAAGCAAAGCATACATTGTTCCTTAGATACTATCAATTGTGTTTAAAAATCATGTGATCCTCAATACAAGATCATAACAAAATTTCACTCAGCTTAATAACAAATGTTTAACAGCGTGTTAAACAGCATGTTTCACAATTCTGTGTGTAATACAGAAGTTTAAAAAAAAATTAGAAAGCACTTTCTTCCTACCACAGCAAAACTGGTTAAAACAGCAAATAGGAAACACTATGGCAAGAAATTGAAATGCCTTCTTTTGTAAGAAAATCTACTGGGAGACTCAGAGAAAATGTGGCTGGAGATTTGAAGAAACCATTATTACATCAAATCACACAGCGTGGGAGGTTTGAGTACAGTCGGGTGAAAGTGCAGACATTTCTAGCATGTTCCAGCTTGTGGTGTTTGCAAGATTCTGTTTCAATAATGAAACTCATTAGGAGCTACTTTTTGTGAGCCACTGAAAGAAAGATGTGTCAGAGGAGTCAGCCTCAATCATAAATTACTTTTTAAAACACAGATATTTTATAGAAAACCTAGCTAAGTATAACCATTTATGGAGCGGCCATTTTGATTAGAATGCTAAAATGATTCCAGAGAAAACATATAGAGATGGCACCACGTGTGAAATTCATTTACTGCTCCGTTATTAGGCAAGCTGTTGCAGGAAAGAAATGGAAGGAGATGGAGGAAGATGGAGACTGTGGAGAGCGGGAGAGGCTGGACTGTTCAACACCAACAGCCATTACTCAGCTCCAGCCGATTGACTCCTTGCAGGATCACAGGCAAACACTGCCAGAGATCCAGATTTTTAAAGAGAAATCACCTGATTTTTAAAACCCAAGTGACAGGAACACAAAATTGGTCTTTCGAAGAGCAGTCTTCTCTCTCTCTCCCCATGCGTGTTTTGCTGTAGAATGATAGGCTAGTGGTAATCTTCTGACTTCTTCAGGAAGGTTATACAATGGGGTTCATTTTAAAACACTTTGGGAGGCCACAGAGGGAGGATCACTTGATGCCAGGAGTTCAAGACTAACCTGGGTAGCATAGAGAGACCCCCATCTCTGCAAAAATTTAAAAATTAGCTGGGCATGGTGGTGAATATCTGTGATCACAGCTACTCAGGAGGCGGAGGCGGGAGAATTGCTTGAGCTCAGGAATTTGAGGTTGCAGTGAGCTATGATTGTACCACTGCACTCCAGCCTGGGTGACACAGTGAGACCCCATCTTAAATAGATAGGTAGGTAGATGATAGATAGATAGATAGATAGATAGATAGATAGATAGATAGGCAGGCTGGGTGCAGTGGCTCACACCCGTAATCCCAGCACTTTAGGAGGCCGAAGTCAGCAGATTGACCTAAATTCAGGAGATAGAGACCAGCCTGGGCAACATGACGAAACCCCATCTCTGTCAAAAATACAAAATAAAAATAAAAATTAGCTGGGCGTGGTGGCAGGTGCCTGTAGTCCCAGCCACCTGGGAGGCTGAGGCAGAAGAATCACTTGAACCTGTGAAGCAGAGGTTGCAGTGAGCTGAGATCACACCATACTGTACTCCAGCCTGGGCAACAGTGAGACCCTGTCTCAAAAAAAAAAAAAAAAAAAAAAAAAAGGAAAGAGAAAGAATAAAAAAGGATAAATAAATAAACTTGGATTCATATCAAGGGAAGATTTATTCATCAAATTTCAGTAAAAACTTCTTCAAAATTGGTGGATGTAACTGAAAAATATCATGATTTAGTAAGTGCATGCTGTATTTATTTTATTTGAATCCATGCTTCTCTGTGAAATAGCTTAAGTATTATATATATACACACACAGTATACATACATTTATTTAGTATATATATTTATTTCATGAGAATAAAAGGATTTAAGAACTATTAATAATTAAAATGCTTATCAGGCAAGATAAAGAAATAAAGAGCAAACAAACGGAAAGCGAGGAAGTCAAACTATCTCTGTTTGCAGATGACATGATCCTATATCTAGAAAACACTAAAGTCTCGGCCAAAAAGCTCCTTCAGCTGATAAACAACTTCAGCAAAGTCTCAGGATACAAAACCAATGTACAAAAATCACTACCTTTCCTATAAACCAACAACAGTCAGCGAGAGTCAAATCAGGAACTCAATCCCTTTCACAATCACCGCAAAAAGAATAAAATACCTAGAAATATACAGCTAACCAGGGAGGTGAAAGATCTCTACAATGAGAATTTTAAAACCCTTGTAAAAGAAATCAGAAATGACACAAATAAATGGAAAAACATTCCATGTTCATGGATAGGAAGAATCAATATAATTAAAATGGCTATACTGCCCAAAGCAATTTCTAGATTCAATGTTATTCTTTTTTTTTTTTTTTTTTTTGAGACAGTCTTGCTCTGTTGCCCAGGCTGGAGTGCAGTGGCGTGATCTCGGCTCACTGCAAGCTCTGCCTCCCAGGTTCACACCATTCTCCTGCCTCAGCCTCCTGAGTAGCTGGGACTACAGGTGCCCACCACCACACCTGGCTAATTTTTTGTATGTTTAGTGGAGATGGGGTTTCACCATGTTAGCCAGGATGGTCTTGATCTCCTGACCTCGTGATCCACCCGCCTCGGCCTCCCAAAGTGCTGGGATTACAGGCGTGAGCCACTGCGCCCGGCCAATTCAATGTTATTCCTATCAAACTTCCAATGACATTCTTCATAGAACTAGAAAAAATTATTTTAAAACTTCATATGGAACAAAAAAAAAGAGCCTGGATAGTGAAGGAAATCCTAAGCAAAAAGAACAAAGCTGGGGACATTACCCTACCTGATATAAACCATGCTACAGGGTTACAGTAACCAAAACAACATGGTACTGGTACAAAAACAGACACACAGACCAATGGAACAGAATAGAGAGCCAGAAATAAGGCCACACACCTATAACCATCTGATCTTTAACAAAAGTGACCAAAAAAAAAAGCAATGGGGAAAGAACTCCCTATTTAATAAATGGTGCTGGGATAACTGGCTAGCCATATGCAGAAGATTGAAACTGGACCCCTTCCCTAGACCATATACAAAAATCAACTCAAGATGAATTTTAAAGACTTACGTGTAAAACCTCGAACTATAAAAACCCCGGAAGACAACCTAGGCAATATTCTGGATACAGGGATGGGCAAAGTTTTCATGACAAAGATGCCAAAAGCAAAGCCAGGCGCGGTAGCTCATGCCTGTAATCCCAGCATTCTGGGAGGCCAAGGCAGGCAGATCATTTGAGGTCAGGAGTTTGAGACCAGCCTGGCTAACATGGTGAAACCCCATCTCTACTAAAAATACAAAAATTAGCTGGGTGTGGTGGCGTGCGCCTGTAATCCCAGCTACTCAAGAGGCTGAGGCAAGAGAATCACTTGAGCCCAGGAGGCAGAGGTTGCAGTGA